TCTGCTGCTGATGATGATGATGATGATGATGATTCGGATGCTTGATCATTGTAGTTGTGGGGCAGGCTGTGAAACCTGACCCACTCATCATTCGTAACAAGGCGAAGCGAGAGTTCTGCGACAAGCACAGCGGCTACGGAGACTTCTGCGACGGTGAGTGCTGCCCTCTATCATCCTCGCTCGCTAAATCCTCCCAGACCCTTCGATTGTTTACCGACGTTATATTATTGTATTATATATTATAACATTAGCTGCAAATCCAACAGATGCTAGCTGATCGACCGGTTCCTTCGAATACGTTGATTTAGGTTGATCTATATGCCTAGTGAGATTTGAATGGAGCTCCAGCCAATCAGTGATGCTATATGACATTCTAAAAACTATGCTTAACATGCCGCAACTTAATTAAAATGTTTGTGTAAATCGAGAACCAGAATGTAAAGCCATCATCCTTCGAATACGAAAATTGAATTGAAATTGTCTACAAAGCAGTGTCTATGTCAAAATGACGAAGATGATGGTGATGATGATGATGATGATGTTGTTGAAGATGATGATGATGATAATGATGATGATGATGGTGATTATGATGATGATGATGTTGATGTTGTTGATGATGATGATGGTGATGATGATGATGATGATGTTGTTGATGATGATGATGGTGATTATGATGTTGATGTTGTTGATGATNGGTGATCAATGTAGACCAGGTGTTCATGAATGTATGAACAGGTAGGTGGATGTAGGTGATCAATGTAGACCAGGTGCTCATAGGTGTTCAGGTAGGTGGATGTAGGTAATAAATAATATTATAAATATATATAATACCAAAATAAATAAATATATATTCTCATTGTATAAATAGCTAAACGAATAGTTAATCCCCACCAAGTTTGAATAGGTAAGGGAATTGTTGATATATTGTATAATCAATGCGTACTAGTATTTTGAAATGATTTTTCGAAATCATGAGCAAGTGCGGTATTATGTCGTCATGATATTTAAGCGGTCGAGTGTTTGGTACCCTCATAAATATGAGCAATTTACTTTCTACTGCCATGATAGCCACTGTGTTAAAGTTTGAAGTTATTCTAGATTAACCTATCTTAGTTAATATTGATAATTTATATCAAGTTATTCTATCAAGATACCAACTCTATCAAGTTACTAACTCTATCAAGTTATCAACTCTGGCCAGTTATTCTAGATATCCTGTGATGGGTTTGTGTTTGACTTTTCTTCCACTCACATAGTCACTTGGGAGAAAAGTTGATTGCAGTTTCCACGTTGTGTTTTGTAGCTGGAGTATCCTAGCAACAGCAACTGGGCGCGGGTGATCTCCGTAAAGCTCTGCATGCCAACCAAGAGTAAGTGGCGCCCTCTTTTGTGACCATCTGTGTGTCGCTTTGCTACTTTCCATTCCTTCTCACTCTCCTCTCCTTCTAGTTCCTCTTCCTCTTCCTCCTTAGCTTTCTTCTCTCTCACTCCACTTCTCTATTTCTTCCCAATCTTTTTCTGTTTCTGTATCTCTCTTCCCTTCTCTCTCTCTCTCTCCCTCTCTCTCCCTCTCTCTCTCCTATCTTCTCTCTCTCTCTCTCTCTCTTTCTCTCTCTCTCTGCTCTCTCTCTTCTCTCCTCCTCTCTCTGCTGCTGCTGCTGCTGCTGCTGCTGCATGATATGATGATGATGATGATGGCTTGATCATGATGAGTTGATTGGGGCGGCCGTGGTTGCTGCTTCATCATTGTAGTTGTAGGGCAGGCTGTGAAACCTGACCCACTCATCATTCGTAACAAGGCGAAGCGAGAGTTCTGCGACAAGCACAGCGGCTACGGAGACTTCTGCGACGGTGAGTGCTGCCCTCTATCATCCTTGCTCGCTACATCCTCCCAGACCCTCCGATTGTTTACCGACGTTATATTATTATATTATATAATTTATTATAACATTAGCTGCAAACCCAACAGATGCTAGCTGATCGACCGGTTCCTTTGAATACGTTGATTTAGGTTGATCTATATGCCTAGTGAGATTTGAATGGAGCTCCAGCCAATCAGTGATGCTATATGACATTCTAAAAACTATGCTTAACATGCCGCAACTTAATTAAAATGTTTGTGTAAATCGAGAACCAGAATGTAAAGCCATCATCCTTCGAATACGAAAATTGAATTTAAATTGTCTACAAAGCAGTGTCTATGTCAAAATGACGAAGATGATGGTGATGATGATGATGATGATGTTGTTGAAGATGATGATGATGATGGTGATGATTATGATGATGATGGTGATGATGTTGTTGATGGTGATGATGATGATGATGTTGATGATGATGATGTTGATGATGATGACGTTGTTGATGATGATGTTGATGATGATGATGATGATGATAATCTCTTCACAGAGAGTCACATTGATGAAGGCATATATCCGGCACCGCTCACCAACAAGTCGTGGGAGAATCACGCAATATTCCAAGTTCCCATCGCCATCATAGCAGGTAGGAGCACAGCGCCCCCTACACTCACACGCTCGGTGTGTGGCGCCCCCTACAGAGTCGAGAATCCGCGACGATCATGGACGTTAATAGTTAATATAAATAAATAAATAATGGTTAAATGATAATAGGAGATATTAGGGGCATCGGGATGTCAAGTTGTGTTTTTCGTTGACGCTAGGTCCGTCTGCGATGGGACTGAGGATGACACTAGAGACTGTGATGATGCAGCCGGGGATCAGTCCCACGATGGTCGTGGTAGGTGTCACCACCGTAGTGCTGAACGGTGCTGCCATCTAGTAGAAGTCACTCGTCTCTACAGTGTGACGCTTGTATATAGAGTATATAACCGGCTAGATGATACGTTCTATACATGCATCAACAAATTATTGTTTTTATGTATCAAATGATCGCACATAATATATGTATATATATATGTGAAAGAAGAACATGTAATACTATATATGATTGTAATAATGAGTATTATTGTATATAATGATTATAGTATATAAATCTTGAGATAGTAATACTTAATCTGTAGTTTGCGACGCGACGGCGCACGTGTTTAGAGCTGATCCTCTGCCTCCTGCAGGTGAATGTTTGACGAGGGCTTCACAGATGCGGGCAGATCTAGTCTCTCTGTTCGGTTTCCACGTGGAGAACTACCGGCAGCAAACGCTACGGTGGTACGTGTTGCTAGTTACTAGTGTCTACGGCTGTGGTGAGCGCAGCACAGTGAAAAAAATACACAGGGGCACGGGGCAATTTAGCCCCCGAAATGCCAAAAAGAGCCCCGGAAATGCCAAAAAGAGCCCCGCGGAAATTTGCATAGAGGTTCAATGGCAAACAAATTTTAGAGTGCTATTTTTCATGCACGCGAGCTTGAAAGTAGCCCCCGAAAAATAAATTTTTTTTTTTTTCCTGGCGCAGCAGGCATGTTCACGCGGCCTCACCCCATGCCACGTTAGAAACTGTAACCGACTTTTGTATCCGCTGAAGAGTTTGAGATTTCGTTGCGCGGGGGGGTGTGGGGGCGATTTAATTCTTAACTAATATTTATTTCTCCCCGATGTCGGTCTTACGTTGATTTGTTTGCGTCGTTCGTTAATAATGGTTTCTTACATTCCTTCTTCCTGTAGTGTTTTTTGTTATTATTTGTGTTTATTATTATTATTTTGTGTTTTTTTGCCGTGATGGCAGTCCTGTGTTCCTTTGTCTCGTTGCTTTATAAGGTGGTTTGCTGTTTTCAGATCAAATGATTAAGGCTGTGGAGAAAGTCTGGACGTTGCCTTACTTCCTAGACAAGGAGGTAAGATTGATCATCTTGCCTCTGTGTGCAATGTGCAGCCCCGCGCTAGATCAGCACGCTCCAAGAAGTTCAGGCAATTCTCAACCAGAACAGACAGCTTCAAGTTTAGTTTCTTCCCCAGGACGGTTCCAGTTTGGAACCCCTTTACCAGCACCAGTTGCTGAGGCTCTCTCCTTAGTATCTTTCCAGGGGGAGCTGTTCTGTCATTCATTCACTTTGAGGTCTTTTGGTTCCCATTTGCCCAGTAAGTGAAGTGAAGGCCTTGAGCTATGCCGGTGTGTCTCACATAGCGCCTGATTCCCCCGCGTAGACTCGCCGCGGTGTACTGCTGTAACACGTGTCGCCTACCGTCTTACTGTAACACTGAACTGTGTCCACCACATACAACACAGTACGCTGCCGTCGTGTCATAGAGTTACGTGAACCACTGCCTTTCCGGTGACAAATGTCACATAGACACGATAATGTAAGCACTGCATTCCTGTGAAGGAGTTATGTGAGCATATACCACTACCGTACTGTGATAAATGTCACACGGACACAGTAATGTTGGCACTGCCCTTCCGGTGACAAATGTCACACGAACACAATAGAGTGCTGTGACCATTATGTGAGGTCACCGTAATGTGATAATGTGAACGTTATGTGAGCATAAACCGCTTCCTTACCTGTGGTAGGGGGAGGTACAGTAATGTAACCCTTACCTGTGACCGTTATGTGAGCATAAACCGCTTCCTTACCTGTGGTAGGGGAGGTACAGTAATGTAACCCTTACCTGTGACCGTTTGTGAGCATAAACCGCTTCCTTACCTGTGGCAGGGGGAGGTACAGTAATGTAACCCTTACCTGTGACCGTTATGTGAGCATAAACCGCTTCCTTACCTGTGGCAGGGGGAGGTACACGATAAGCTGATCGTGTTGGAGGAGGAATTGATCCTGGCTTCTGACTTCCTACACTACATGGGTCAGCTGCTGCCCATCCTGGACAAGGATGAGTCTATATGCAGCGTGTCCGCGTGGAACGTGAACGGTAGGTGGGTGCGTGGGCGGAAGGATGCGGGGAGTGTGAGGGTGTGTTGTGGGTGGAAGGGTGTGTAGGAGGGAAACTGTGTAGGGTAGTGTGTGAGTGAGAGAGAGAGAGAGAGATGTGGGTGGGGTGTGAGAGAGAGATGGATGTGTGTGAGGTGTGAGAGAGAGAGAGAGGTGTGTGGGGTGTGAGAGAGAGATGTGTGTGGGGTGTGAGAGAGAGAGAGATGTGTGTGGGGTGTGAGAGAGAGAGAGAGATGTGTGTGGGGTGTGAGAGAGATGTGTGTGGGGTGTGAGAGAGAGAGAGATGTGTGTGGGGTGTCTTGTGTGTGCGCGACGGTCTGGGATGCCAACTCGAAAGCTACCCTGACGCGCCGCCCCCGCGTCCCCTCCCTCCATCGTTGCTCACCCGCGCGTGGTAACTGGTTCTGCCTCGTGCAGGGTACGAGGGACTGAGCGAGGACCCGGCGGCTGTATTCCGCGTTGAGGACGGATTCCCCGGACTCGGATTCATGATCCGACGCGGATTCTACGCGAGATTCCTCGACAAACACCTGAGCAGCTGCTGCCGCAACAGGTGAGTCGTCCGCTCGTTAACGCGCGGCGGACAGGTGAGAGAGACGCAACAGGTGAGTCGTCCGCTCGTTAACGCGCGGCGGACAGGTGAGAGAGACGCAACAGGTGAGTCGTCCGCTCGTTAACGCGCGGCGAACAGGTGAGAGAGGCGCAACAGGTGAGTCGTCCGCTCGTTAACGCGCGGCGAACAGGTGAGAGAGACGCAACAGGTGAGTCGTCCTAACGAGACCGCACGCTCGTACTCTGTACCCCTCACCCTTCCCCTGCAAACACTCACCTACTCTCCTACGATGACTGACTCTGTGTGGTCTCTCTACCATGCTCTACACAATCACCGCTTTGCTCTCCAAATCTCTTGATTCTTGCTCTCCATCACAATAAAATTTATTTCCTTGGATCTCGGAAATGCGTCTTGAAAAAAAAACAGAGCCAGTCCCGATTTGGGAAATTTTGATTTAGACTACTGTATAACCTTTAGTAGATTTTGATTTCTACTGTAGAACCTATAGTAAAATCAATATTAATTAGCCAGTCCAGCTCACAGGTTACCAGTCCAGGACTGGGAGCTGCCGTGTCCAACGCCATTTCATCCATATTTATACAAGATTATTTTTTATTTTTTTATTTTATCATTTTGTTCTTACAGGATATGGGACATGGATTTTAAAAATATTTTTATTATTTCGTCGTTACAGGACGTGGGACGGCTGGACGCCCGCCGCCTCGGGAAACCTCACTCTCACGGACGTGATCATCCCCGAAGTGTCGCGCGTCTACCGGCGCCCCCACGTGGGCGTCAGCAAAGACAACAGTCTACTCGACGAACTGTTCGGGCGACAGCGAGCGACAAACCTGTGAGTTGACGTGCCGCCTCTAGGTGGCGCTGTTATGTCGACGTGACGCCTCTAGGTGGCGCTGCGGCTGATCTCCCCATGCGATCCACCATTACTCTGTAGGTGGCGCTAGCTCACTCCCATCGTTAACGTCGTCGTTGTATAGGTGGCGCTGAATCTCCGTCGCCCCTAGCAGAGCTGCTGCTTGCTGGAACTAAGCAATACATTCACTCTGCTGGCGGTATGTGGGGTGTAAGGTGTGAAGGTGTGAAGGTGTGTTCTGCCAAATGAAGACACTAAGATAAAGAATGTAGAAGCTTGAAGAGTGTAAGTGGAGGTGTCAGACTGTGGGCATAGACTCTACCAGAAGGGTTTTATGGACCGACTGCATGTATGTGAATTCTGGCCTGTGGTCTATGATGGATGGGATGCAAGGCAGTGTCATCTCTGTTTCATATAAATATCATGACTGTTCAGTATATATCATGATACTGTTTCATATAATATCATGACTGTTTCATATAATATCATGACTGTTTCATATAATATCATGACTGTCTCATATAATATCATGACTGTTTCATATAATATCATGACTGTTTCATACGATATCGTGTCTGTTTCATATAATATCATGACTGGTTTCATATAATATCATGACTGTTTCATATAATATCATGACTGTTTCATATAATATCATGACTGTTTCATATAATATCATGACTTGTTTCATATAATATCATGACTGTTTCATATAATATCATGACTGTCTCATTAATATCATGACTGTTTCATATAATATCATGACTGTTTCATATAATATCATGACTGTCTCATATAATATCATGACTGTTTCATATAATATTCATGACTGTTTCATATAATATCATGACTGTTTCATATAATATCATGACTGTCTCATATAATATCATGACTGTTTCATATAATTTCATGACTTTTCATACGATATCGTGTACTGTTTCATATAATATCATGACTGTTTCATATAATATCATGATGGCATCTGTTTCATATAATATCATGACTGTTTCATATAATATCATGACTGTTTCATATAATATCATGACTGTTTCATATAATATGGCATGACTGTCTCATATAATATCATGACGTTTTCATATAATATCATGACTGTTTCATATAATATCATGACTGTCTCATAAAATATCATGACTGTTTCATATAATATCATGACTGTTTCATATAATATCATGGACTGTCTCATATAATATCATGACTGTTTCATATAATATCATTGACTGTTTCATATAATATTCATGACTGTTTCATATAATATCATGACTGTTTTTCATACGATATCGTGTGTTTATATAATATCATAACTGTTTCATATAATATCATGACTGTTTCATATAAATATCATGACTGTTTCATATTAATATCATGACTGTTTCATATATATCATACTGTTTCATATAATACATGACTGTTTCATATAATATCATGACTGTTTCATATAATATCATGACTGTTTCACACTATATCATGACTGTTTCATACGATATCGTGTCTGTTTCATATAATATCATGACTTTTCATATAATATCATGACTGTTTCATATAATATCATGACTGTTTCAACACTATATCATTGACGGTTTCATATAATATCATGACTGTTTCATATAATATCATGACTGTTTCATATAATATCATGACTGTTTCATATAATATCATGACTGTTTCATATAATATCATGACGGTTTCATATAATATCATGACGGTTTCATATAATATCATGACTGTTTCACACTATATCGCTGACTGTTTCATTACGATATCATGACTGTTTCATAATTAATATCATGACTGTTTCACACTATATGCAGGACTGTTTCATATAATAGCATGACTGTTATACACTAATATCATGACTGTTTCATACGATATCGGTGCTGTTTCATATAATATCATGACTGTTTCATATAAATCATGACTGTTTTCATATAATATCATGACTGTTTCTAATAATATCATGACTGTTTCACACTATATCATGACGGTTTCATATAATATCATGACTGTTCAAATAATATCATGACTGTTTCATTATAATATCATGACCTGTTTCATGTAATATCGTGCTGTTTCAGACTATATCATGACTGTTTCATATAATATCATGACGTTTCATATAATATCATGACGGTTTCATATAATATCATGACTGTTTCACACTATAATCGTGACTGTTTCCATACGATATCTATGCCTGTTTCATATAACTATCATGACTGTTTCATATATATCGGATGACTGTTTCATATAATATCGTGTCTGTTTCAGAACTATATATGACTTTTCATACTATATCATGACGGTTTCATATAATATCATGACTGTTTCATATAATATCATGACGGTTTCATATAATATCATGACTGTTTTCATATAATATCATGACTGTTTCATATAATATCATGACTGTTTCATACGATATCGCTGTCTGTTTCAGAGTTCCGTATCCGCTGCTCAAGGACACGGAACAGCTGGTGGCGTCGCGATACGACGGGGGGCGTTGCACCAGCTGCTGGCGAAGAGTCACACGTTACTGCCGAACTATCTAACGACGTGCCTGCGAGGAAAGGAGTCCTCTGCTCTCGACCTTCCCGCAGTACGAAGGGGTGAGTAAAACCCTGGACACATGAGTGTTCCTCTCTTCACTGACATCCCCCCAGTACGAGGGTGAGTACACCCCTCACACATTAGTCACAATAGTGTTCCTGTTCCTACCCTTTACTGATCTCCCCCCAGTACAAAGGGGTGAGTAAAACCCTTACCTGGGTGTTCCTCTCTTTACTGACCTCCCCCCAGTACGAAGGTGTGAGTAAAACCCTTACCTGGGTGTTCCTACCCTTCACTGACCATCCCCCCAGTACAAAGGGGTGAGTAAAACACATAAAAAATGAGGGGAAAGTAAGAGGAAGAGGGTGTCAGGGCCAGAGGAAGGAGAAATTTAAAAGCAGAGGTTGTAGAGGAATTAATTATAGTAATTATTACTATTATTATTATTAAAGTATTATAAGTAGAACATTAGTGTTCCTTCCTTCACCAACCTTCCCTCAGTACAAATGGATGAGTAAAGCAATCACACCAGATGTAGAGTTCCTCCTTTGACTGATCTTCCCTCGGTACGAAGGGGTGAGTAAGGGTTTCATGGATATTTCTCACTTCACTGACCTTCCCCTAGTAGTAAGGGGTGAGGAATAAAGCACCCAGACATGTGTTCCTCTCTTCCCTGGCTTCCTCTTTCCTCGATGTTTCAATGTAGTCTTCCCGCAGTACATCTTTCATAGACTCCCTGGTAAAAATTAACCAAGATAGCTCTGTTATCTACCAACCGAATGAACTTATTTTTTAAATGAGTTACATCCTTCATACATGAGAGTTTGGAATCTCAGTTACATGATGCAGATGTAGCGTGACATCGCGAAGTGATTAGAGGTATAGATGGAGCACAGAGAGAGGAGGATGGTATATGGTGTTAGAGTATACGATGCGAGCCACAGGAGAGAGGAGGATGAGATATATGGTGTATTAGAGCGTATAGATGAGTGGCACAGAGAGAGAGGATGGATATATGGGTGATTAGAGGTATAAGTTGGTGCAGAGAGAGAGGAGGCATGGATATATGGCCTGATCTAGAGGTATAGTGTGTGGCCAAGAGAGAGAGGAAGGGATGGATACTATGTGATTAGAGGATAGATTGGGAGGCACAGAGAGAGGAGGATGGATATATGGTGATTAGACGGTTACGTGGTGGCAGAGAGATGAAGGGGATGGTATTATGGTGATTTAGCAGGTATAGATGGGCAAGAGAGAGAGAGGATGGATATATGGTGCTAGAGTATAGATGGGCAGCAGAGAGAGGAGGATGGATATATTGGGTGATTAGAGGTATAGATGGTGCACAGAGAGGAGGATGGATATATGGTGATTAGAGGTATAGATGGTGCAGAGAGAGAGGAGGATGGATATATGGTGATTGGAGGTATTAGAGTGGCGTGCAGAGGAGAGAGAGGAGGATGGATAATATGGTGATTAGATAGGTATAGATGGTGCACAGAGAGAGAGGAGGATGGATATATGGTGATTAGAGGTATAGATGGTGCACAGAGAGAGGAGGATGGATATATGGTGATTAGAGGTATAGATGGTGCACAGAGAGAGAGGAGGATGGATATATGGTGATTAGAGGTATAGATGGTGCAGCCAGGAGAGAGGATGGATATAATGGTGATTAAGGTATAGATGGTGCAGAGGGAGAGGAGGATGGTATTATGGTGATTAGAGGTATAGATGGTGCACGAGGGAGAGGCATGATATATGGTGATTAGAGGTATAGATGGTGCAGAGAGAGAGGAGGATGGATATATGGTGATTAGAGGTATAGATGGAGCACAGAGAGAGGATGGATAGGGATATATATGGTGATTACGAGGTATAGATGGTGCCGGAGAGAGAGGGAGGATGGATATATGGTGATTAGAGGTATATGCATGGTGCAGAGAGAGGACGGATGAATATATGGTAGATATAGAGGGTATAAGATGCGTGGCACAGGAAGAGAGGATGGATTATCTGGTGATTAGAGTAAGATTGAGCACAGAGGAGAGAAGGATGGATATATGGTGATTAGAGAGGTATAGATGGTGGCACAGAGAGAGAGAGATGGATATATGGTGATTACGACGGGTTATAGATGGAGCCAGAGAGAGGAGGTTGATATATGGTGATTAGAGGTATAGATGGTGCACAGAGAGAGAGAAGGAGGATATATGGGTGATTGAGGTATAGATGGAGCTGACAGAGAGAGGAGGATGGATATATGGTGATTAGAGGTATAGATGGTGCAGAGAGAGAGGAGGATGGATATATGGTGATTAGAGGTATAGATGGTGCAGAGAGAGAGGAGGATGGATATATGGTGATTAGAGGTATTAGATGGAGAAGCAGAGAGAGAGGAGTGATATAAAATTGGTGATTAGAGGTATAGATTGGTGCACAGAGAGTCGAGGTGGTATTATGGTGATTAGAGGTAGTAGATGGTGCAGCAGAGAGGAGGATGGATAGTATGGTGGATTAGGTAGGTAGATGGTGCGAGAGAGAAGGATGGATGGATATATGGTGATTAGAGGGTATAGATGGATGCACAGAGCGAGGGATGATATATGCGTGATTAGTAGGTATAGATGGTGCAGAGAGAGAGCGAGGAATGGATAATATGGTGATTACGGGTTATAGATGGAGCACAGAAGAGGAGGATGGAATATTATGAGTGATTAGAGGATAGATGGTGCAAGAGAGAGAGGAGGATGGATAATGGTGATTAGAGGTATAGATGGTGCAGAGAGAGAGAGGAGGATATCATGGTGAAGCGGTATAGATTGAGGAGGATGATATTGAGTGAATAGAGTATCGTGAGCAAGAGAGAGGAGGCTGGATATTATGGTGATTTAGAGGTTATAGATGGTGCACAGAGAGAGAGGAGGATGGATATATGGTGATTAGAGGTATAGATGGTGCAGAGAGAGGAGGATGGATATATGGTGATTAGAGGTATAGATGGTGCAGAGAGAGAGCGTAAGCATGGATATATGGCTGACTTAAGAGGTATAGATGGTGCAAGAGAGAGAGGTAATGGATATATTGGTGTTAGAGGTTATAGATTGGTGCAAGAGAGAGGAGGATGGATATATGTGATAGAGGTATAGAGGTGCCAGAGAGAGAGGAGGATGGATATATGTGGTGATTAGAAGTACATAGATGGTGCACAAGAGAGAGGAGGAAGATTGGGTTGATTGGATGGAGTAGGGTGATTATGAGTGATGAGATATGGATGGCTGACAGAGAAGAGGAGGATGGGATATATGAGCTGATTACGAAGGTATAGATGGTGCAAGAGAGGAGAGGCAGGATGGAATATGGTGATTAGAGGTATTAGACATGGTGCACAGAGAGAGAGGATGGATATTGGTCGATTAGAAGTATAGGAATGGTGCACGAGCGAGAGGCAGGATGGATATGGTGATTAGAGGTATAGATGGTGCACAGAGAGAGAGGAGGATGGATATATGGTGATTAGAGGTATAGATGGTGCAGAGAGAGAGGAGGATGGTATATGGTGATTAGAGTATAAGGATGGTGCACGCAGGAGAGGAGGAGCATGGTATATTGGTGATTTAGAGGTATAGAATGTGCAAGAGAGAGGAGGATGGATATATGGTGATTTAGAGAGTTAGAGTGGTGCACAGAGAGGAGAGAGCAGGATTGGATATATGGTGATTAGGGTATAGATAGAGGTCGCAGAGAGAGAGAGGATGGATATATGGTGATACGAGAGTATAGATAGTGCAAGAGAGAGAGGAGGATGGATATTGCGTGATTAGAGTTCTATAGATGGGCAGACGAGAAAGTGGGATGGATATATGGGAATTAGAGTGTATTAGATGGTTGCACAGAGAGAGGAGGTATGAGATATATGGTGATGTAGAGGTTAGATGGTGCACAGGAGGAGGAGGAGGATGGATATATGGTGATTTGCGTTATAGATGGCGAGAGAGAGGAGGATCGGATATATGGTGATCTTAGATGGTTAGATGGTTGCACAGACGAGAGGAGATGGATTATGGTGATTGAGGTTATAGATGAGTCAGAGGGAGGGGGATGGATGTATGGTGATTAGGGTATAATGATCCGTGCACAGAAGAGGGAGATGGACTATACTGGTGATTAGAGGTATAGTGGTGTCAGAGGAAGAGGCAGGATGGATATTATGGGGTGATTAGAGGTTAGATGTGCACAGAGAAGAGGGAGGATGGATATATGGTGATTAGAGGTTAGATGTGCTCAGAGAGAGAGGGGATGGTATTATGGTGATTAGAGGCTTAGATGGTGCCAGGAGAGAGGAGAGGATGATATATCGGTGATTAGAGGTATAGTGTGCACAGAGATAGAGGGGATGGATGGATCTATGCGTGAATTAGGGATAGATGGTGCAGAGAGTAGAGGAGGATGGATTTATGGCTGATTAGATGTATAGATGGTGTAGAGAGACGGGAGATGGACTATATGTGTGGAGGTTTTATTTAGATGGTGCAGGAGGAGGAGGAGGATGGCATATATGGGGACTTAGAGGTCTATAGCTGGTGCGAGAGAGGAGGATGGTATATGGTGATAGAGGTATAGAGGTGCACAGAGAGAGGGATGGATATGATGGTGATTAGGAGTATAGATGGTGCACAGAGAGAAGGGGATGGGTATTGGTGATTAGAGGTATAGCTGGTGCGAGAGAAGAGGAATGGTTATATCGGTGAATTAGAGGTATAGATGGTGCACAGAGAGAGGGGATGGGATGGCATATTGGTGATGGAAGGTACTAGAGGGTGCAGAGAAGAGGAGGATGGATACTATGTGATTGCACCGGTATACGATGGTGCGAGGAGAGGGAGGATGGATATATTGGTGTTGATATAGATGGTGCCAGAGACGAGGAGGAGGATGGATATTGGTTATTGGAGTATATGATCGTGCAGAGAGAGGTGGGAGATGGATTATATGGTATTAG